CGTAACAAAGGTGACTCGTAACAAAGGTGACGCGTAACAAAGGTGACTCGTAACAAAGGTGACTCGTAACAAAGGTGACTCGTAACAAAGGTGACGCGTAACAAAGGTGACTTGTAACAAAGGTGACTCGTAACAAAGGTGACGCATAATAGATGTGACGTATACAGCGAAGCGACATATTTGTTTTGTTTTTTTTTCATTTTATTATACATATTTGGACTGATGCGGCTTATACGGCGGTGCGACGTGTACGGTAGTTCTATTCTTCAGCAGGGTTAAGAGCTGAGAACGTAAAAAAAAACATGGTATCCTATGGAATCATGGCGTGCAAGCCTTTTTCCATTTATCTGCCTTATTCTTTACATTTGTGCATTTTCTTACTGCAGTCTCTGCAGCAAGGTTTTACTTTAATTGATTATTTGGATTAGAAGGTGGAAAAACAATTTTCTCTGAGCAAAAACAACCCTCTTGATTATGTCTGTTGCTCTTCCTGTTTATATTGTGCCGGCACATTTGCATTCCCCCAGATGATGCGCTCTGAATTTTCAAACGATTTTATTTGTCAGTCAAAGAAGTCGCTGTTTTACTCCCAGCGACACGTCTCAAGTCACATCTGACAGCAAGCCTTTGTCGAAGTGAAGCATTCACTCTGTTCATATGTTGGGATCCTTTCAGATGATGCACATTGTTTTTTACGTTCAGTCTTTTGAAATGTCTTTCAATGTGTGTTGACAGATGATCAGGGGGAGGATATGTCACCCAAATAAGCCTCACACGTTTAACCAGCTGTGGACGGTGGAAGAACAGGTTGGTAGCGAATGTGTAAGAAAACATGCTTGATGATGATTGAATATAAATGAATGTCTTTGTTAGGATTTGTAACGATAATGTACTTTTTATGGGATTTAAGATAAAACTCAATTCCAAATGAAAACACCAACATATAAAAAATAAAAGAACATTTTTCCATTCTCTGTCCAGATGACCTGACTCTTAACCTCGTTAGATTGTTACGTTCTGTTTCTTTGTCTTTCTTTTGTTTCTCTCAAACTGTAAGGAGAGCTGCACCTGTGATAACAGCTCCCTTGTGTCTGAACACAGCAGAAGCAAAAAGAGTCTTTTTGCAGTGAAATCATAAAATCTGTGGCTGTGCAGTAAAGGCGCCTGCATTATGCATTTGGTGCTTTAGACCGCAGTAACTTTTTTTTTTTATAGTTCTCTTTATTATTTGTTCGCTCTGCAGGGGCTGCTGCCAAGTCTCGTAACTCCTATAGTTTTATTTTAACATTTCAGAGTCAAAACAACATAAAAGGAAAAACAAACCATCTGTGCAGAACTGTACTTGGTCTACCAGAGGTTCCCAAACTTTTCCATGCCATGGCCCCCAAACAGCATTAGCTTCTGGCTGAGTCCCCCCACCACAAACCCACAAACAATGTTACAAAATGTGTAAAGAAACATCAACTTTTAGAATGTTTTAACTTTTATTCACTATAATCAGTTAATTCGTCCAGCTGCTGAACATAAAAATGTTATTAGCTAACATGTTTTAAACTCTGAATTATATTCCCACTCAAGTGGCGCTGAAGTTTTGAAGGTTTTAAACACTCGTTTGCGAGGGTCTCCAGGCAGAGGACACATTTCGGACAATAGTGGCCATTTTTCTGTATGACTGTAAAGCCATACTTAATGTTTGCTTCCACATACCTTTGAATTTTAGCTGGCCATGAGTTGTTTGTTTGTTTGTTTGTAGCAGTGTCCAGCACAGCACGGCTGATGGTCGGTTCCTTCTGTCTTTTTTAGAAACTCCTTCATTTTGTCCTTGCTGTGCTTGAAGAGCACATTTGACTAACAATCAGAAAGATGAGCATGGTGAAAATTATTTCAATATAAAATATATTTAAAAATAATTATTCAACACTGTTTGCTTTCCTCCCTAGCGCCCCCTGGTGGTCCCCCATGGGGCCGCGGCCCCCTACTTTGAAAAACACTGGTGTAGATGATGTAAATTTTACGTTGAGTGTACGTTACAAATTACACGAAGTTGCTCATAAGAATAGTTTTCATGTTAGCCTTTAAAAACTGACACAGAGAATGAACCACAAAGCAAAAGCTTGTTTGTGTGTAGCACAAAAGTTTAATAATTCTCCTCCTCCTTGTCTGACTGGCTGTTGCTGTTTTTTAGTCTGAACTAAAACACAACCAGAGATGATGGTAAGGGCGGTAGTTTCTGTTTTTGATCTGAATGAACGTATTTTCCTGGTAAATTTTCTGCCAGAAAATTAAACGGTTACAATCAAGTCGTAAAATCATTACTGATGTTGCAAATCTTGCAGCCCTGCAGTAAACTGTGTGAGCCTGATGAGTGAAAGTATGAAGTCTGGGATGTGAAATATTCACATCATTCACACTATTAAAAAGAAAATATTAAGGTTTCAGAACTGAAAGTTGTAACTTGATGAATATCTGAGCCGATCTGTTGATGCGTTTGAACATGGAGGTGTAAATGTTAAGCTATAAGAGCGGGACAGCTTGGAGGGAGGTGGTGTCTCGTCTCATCAGTTGATTAAAATGGAGTCAGAACAACTGTAAACGAGATGAAACCGAACGCGGTTCGTCTTCTTTAAAAGCTGAGCTCATAGTTCAGCTCCAAACCTGAGCAACTGCTCGGCTCCGATTTGACATTTTGTTTTATTTAAATTTTTACGCAATAAAAACGTCACAAATTACGTCAAAAAACTCCAAGAAGCCTGTGAAGTTGGGCTCAAACAGTTTGAAACGACTACTAAAGGGGGAAAAAAAGTTAAAATTGATTAAACAGTAAACAAGTTGGGCACATTTTATTTTTTATTGTACGTTTTGTCCGTTTTGACAGAAAAAACTGGAGCAGCTTCTTCTTAAGTACCCACCTGAGGAGATCGAGTCCAAACGATGGCAGAAAATTGCCGATGAGCTCGGCAATCGGACGGCCAAACAGGTTAAAATCATTACTGTTGTTCTCATTTTAAAAAAAGGCGCACGCTTCAGAGCCTTATTTGTAACTCTTATATTATTTGACCTTAAAAAAAAAAAAAAAACAGAAGCAGTTTGAGCTTATTTGTATGAAAAAGTTGACTGATGTGTGTAATAACACAGACGCCCCCTGCCAGTCTGTGGATGATAGAAGTGTGCGACCTCTAATTAAATCAAGCAGCTGTTTCTCCCTCTGAAATAATAAATGTTGCCATTTTCCTTTAAAACCATTCCAGGTTGCCAGTAGAGTTCAAAAGTACTTCATCAAACTGACAAAAGCTGGTATTCCTGTGCCTGGAAGGACACCCAACCTCTGCATGTACACTAAAAAGGTAACTCGCACTTACTGGATAAAACATCTCGTCACTTAAAGACCAGAGGTTTCATTCATTTAATCTTTTTTGGGATGTTAGGAGTAAAATAGGTCTAATGTTCTGATTATGATTTTGTTGCTGTTCAAGACAGAATCAGTGACGAAACACTGTTTGTATACGAGGAAGCTGATTATTTATTTTGTGGGGACTCTCTCCTGTCTGATGTTAAAACTAAATCACCGAATTGTTGCCCCTTGAATTTGTTTCCGTGTAGAAAAATTGAACTTCTCTTCTCATCACAAGTGGTCTTGTGCTCGAGTGTGTAAAACAAATTGGCACTCAAACTGGTAATTAAACTTTAAATATTAAAGTAAAACTTTGTGAATCGTTCCTGAAATAAGAAAGGAGTTCATGCATAGTGGTTCCTAAATGTTTTAAACCTTCAAACCTTTGACTTCTCTTAATTAGGCTTCTCAATCTCATTTTTTTCCACCAAACCAGTTAGAAAAACATATTTTATCATTGCAGCAATTAAGTTTTATTCTGTAAAGAAATTAATTTCTTATAAAACATTCATGTTCCTACTTTGAATTACAGTGAAACTCTTGTTCTTTTATTGGGGAAATAAGTTTTAATTACCGTACTTTTCACTGTATAAGTCGCACCTTTTTGCATAAATTAGCATGCCCTGCGACTTATACGGCAAAGCGACTTATTTACATTTATTTCTATATTTATAACCCAAGTTTTGGCTGAGATCTGATGATTTCATTCATTCTGACATGGAAAATATTGAACACTACCATTTGTAGCCGCTAGAGGGCGGTCAGGTAATATGGCAAACCAAGTGTCTCATTAATGATTAAAATGGCTATTAATGAGACACTTGGCTTGCCATCTAGTCCATCTTTGTCTCGCTCTGGAACTCCTGGAGCAAACGTCAAATCAGCTGCATTTCACCGCCCAGGTTAAATGCAGCTGATTTGACCATTAAAGTTCATTTATTAAGGAAAAGTTCAACTGAGACACACCTTTGCTATAATTTAGAGCAAACAAATAATTGTTTTTAAGTGTTAATCTTGTTAAATTCTTGTTAAAGTCCTCTCGTGCACGCTCCCGCGGTTGCCATTTGGCAGCCAATCGATTTTTGGCACAACACCGGCCCAGGTTGTCAGAGATGATGCGTAATAGATGCGACGTATTTGTTTTTTCCCACTTTATTAGACATTTTTGGACTGATGCGACTTATACGGTGTCAAATACAGTAGTTTGATGTTAAGTGAACGCTTGCTCTATAAAATGCCAGCCTTAATTTGTTCATGTCTACCAGAACCTAGTCATCACGGGAAGCCCAGCTTCTAGTTTAATTTATGTTTTTGACTTGAGGAAATTACTGCAACATATGTAATAAAAAAACAGATTAAATTGTGAATATTTAAAGAAGAGTTTCATAGTTCAGTAATGTTATATTAATCCTCAAGGGAAGTGGGTGGAATAAAAGTAAGAGTGAATGAAAATTAAAAACAGCAATAATGTAAAAAAGATGAATGATAACAGACATGGTAATAATCTTTTTGGTTTGGATGACACAACGATGTGGATTTGACTTTATGGAGAGGAAACTTTTTGTTTTTAACCACTCGCCTCAGGTTACACTTTACTACTTTTAATTCTTTGACTTTACGCTTCAAGACAAAAGTTACCACTGAAACATGCAACACGTTCAGACAAATACATTTAAAATGTTGTTGTTCTTTACAGATCTTTTTATTTGTACTATTTGCTGGACCCACCAAATACAGTCTCCTCTTTATTGCTTTACTTGTTTCAAAACACACTTTAAACTCATGTTAAACAGACTAAAGCTGCAAAGAAGCACACGATAAACAGACTATTTTATAATTTAGCAACAATTATTTCCAGACGGTTGTCGGGTGCACGATGATGAAAGAGCATTTTCTACTAACAAAAGTTAGAACTGCTCGATTTTCAAAGCTACTGATCGTTCAGAGTCACGAGGCTTATTTTGACTCGGCTCGACGGTGTTTCTGGCTGCGGTAGCTCAGCGGTTACGCGTCGAAGCCTTGTAAAGCTGGGGCTGCCAGTTCGAGCCTCAGGAAACGCCTCCAGCGTAAAACAAATGGTCGTAATCCTTCATGCGAGTTTACTCGCTGTGGCAACACCTGCAGAGGGGAGCAGCCAACAGAAACCTACTTTTATCACATACAAAACAAAGATACGATACTCTGTGTGAAACTGGTACCAGTGAGAATGAATCTGATTCTATGGACGTCCTTCAGGCCTCCAGTAAGAAGCAGCACCACCTGAACAGGCACCTGTACCGACCCTCCACCTTCCTAACGTCGTACGAGCCTCCGGTCTTCATGGATGAAGACGACGAGCGCTCGCCGTATTACAACATGCAGGACCCTTCAGCAGATGACTCGGTAAAACAGACTTTATTTATTTTTTACTCTACTTTTATTAGCCATAAATGATTTGGTGGCTCACCCCGTTTTCCACTTTTAATTTTATTTTTTGTATCCACGCTCATTTACCAGACAGTACAGCTGCTTCATTTAACTAAATACTGGTTTTATTCTTTGCTCATGATATTACCCTGAAAATGAATTATGTACTGCGCGCAGCTTGTTTTATACTCGATTGGGCATTTCAGTGATCCCCAGTCCTGGTCCTTGTTGGCCACTCTTCTGCATGTTGTAGTTGTTTCCCTGGTCTTCAGCAGGTCAGAAGCCTGTTAGCTGCTCGTTTATTCAAATCAGGTGTGATGAAACAGAGAAACCTCTAAAACAGGGGTGCCCAATAAATCTATTATGATCTACCGGTTGATCGCAAAGGCATTAATGGTAGATCGTATGGCATTAAAAAAAATAGACGTCACGTCAGCCATCCTCACTGAGAAAGTTGTCACTTGATTGACACACAGGGCAGCCAGTCACAGCCCATTCTCTCAAACCAGGTCTTAGAGTGGAGACACCCCGCCCCCAAAGTGTGAAATTCTCCATGTGTGGAGTTGCATATGCACACTACAGGCGGCTGCAGTCCAAAGTTGTTCTGCACTAACAACAGTTGTAATAAACGGCAGAGAGCAGCGTGTTTTTGTGCTGCTCGCCCTTTTGCAGCACGTAGGAGCAAAACTAATAAAGTCCAGGCTCCAAAGAGACGTTGGTGTATTCACCGGTTTGGAGGTAACTGATCATGCAGACATGTGCAATGAATGCAGATGAGCATGGCATCAGGGTTGCCAGATAAATTTAAAATGTCTTATTTAAACCCTCCTTTTCTGTGCACATGTTCAACAAACACAACACACACTTCATCTTAAAATATCTTTACTCAGCACATCAGACATATTGGGTTGAAATAATATAATTTTAAAGCAACAGTATTGTAGTTCATAATTTCTTATCTGGCAACCCGACTTGCATAGAAACTACAGCGCGTTTGCGTAAACCCACTCATTTTTTGTTTATAATAAATATTGAAAATACTCTTAACATTTCCAGAGGTTGTTCTTGTGTAAACGGAGCCTTGTAGTAAGTCGATCACTTTGACTTGGTCGTTTTAAAAGTAGCTTGCATGATGAAAACGCGTGGACACCCCTGATCTAAAACATGCAGGATAGTGGCTCTCAAAGACCAGGACTGACTACACGATGTTCAGTTTCAGCTCTGTGAGTTGTAATATGGAATTGAACATAATAGTTGCATGTGCAATTTTTCGCACTTAAAATCCTTGAATTTTCTCAAAAATCAACAGTTAAAATCCAGCGTGCCTTACGTATTAATTTTGGTTGTGCTTACTGACCTCATGTGGTACACGGTGCTCAAAAATCTGTCGAAATGAACTTATTTCACATAATGCGCCTTATAGTCTGAAAAATACGGTAGAAACGAATATTTGTTGTGCTGCTTTAAGAAGAAAATTCTGTAAAATTGTAAGAGAGAAAAGTCGCACTTTTTCGAGTGTTGTGTTATTTAATTTAAATCTATTCAAGCCTGAGCCGTATTCCAGCAGCTGTCTCCTCTAATGGGTTTTCTTATACCAGCCCCTTCAGCCTCTCGTTGACGCTGCAGCATAAAACGAAGCATCTCCTCGTTTCAACTGCAATCATGGCCGTTTGTGATGTTTGCTAAATCAGAGCAGGGGTCTGACAGGCTGCGCTTCTCTTTCCATTTGAACCGAGCAACTCCACTGTTTGGTGCTATCAAAGCGCTGACACCCCCCCACCCCCCACCCCCTTCTTTGATGGCAGTAACCTTTAAGTAAAACTGTTTCCTGTTTCCTTGCTGAGAACACAGATGGGTTTTCTCCATCATGGAATCCTCTTGCATCACCAGAACAGAGAAGAGTCAGAAAGGTGCTGCCAGCCTGTGTAACAATGTCTTCCCTCACCAGGTTGTCATTTATTTGGCCTTATTTTTAATAAAATAATAATAATAATAAAAGGGAACTGTACCAAAAGCAGATGTGACAGAAGCTTAGTAGAATTGCACATCCTGCTCACAAGACCTGGATGTGTTTTAGTAGAGTATGTCGTTTAATTTTGTCCCGTTGTTCTTTTCTCTGCATGAGACGAGGAGGTTGATTAAGGTTGTTCTTTATTTTTACCTTTTTTTGCTGTAATCTGTTTTTGGTGCAAAGCTGCTGCTCAAACAGAAGAAAAGCACAATGCTCTGCTGTTCTGTTATAAAAAGTGAGACCAAGTGTCACACTGAGATGTTTTAACTGTGCACGACACCCATCACTCTTAACTCCACTTTTCTGTTTGTGTTCGTCTTCCTGCAAACTCAGGATGAGGAGAGCGTTCCTGTGGAGCTGAGAAACTTACCGGAGTACAAAGAGCTTTTGGAGCTGAAGTGTTTGAAAAAACAAAAACTCCAGGAGATCCAGGAGGAGAAGGGCGGGGTGCAGCATTTAGGATTCAAGGTGAAACATCGATGATAAAGTCAGGCAGCAACATACGGTGTATGGACGCGTTTTCTGTGATTTCAGCAGTTTCCTCAAGTCCACGAGGTTTAGTTTGTGTTCCTGCAGTAAACTGTGCATTATTTCTGCTGGTCTCTGAGTGTGCCGTGTGTTCAGTGTGCTAAAGTAACCGTACAGGCTCATTTTATCAACTAGGCCTGTCGTGACAAACAAGAAATCAATTAATCGCATGATAAATGAAAATTATCAACCTCATTTTCATTCATCGGCTTTATCGTTTCTTCGTGTCTCTTTCTACTGAAGACACTTGATGATAAAAGACTCAACTCCGGTGCTCTTCACTGACTCCTCCCATTCTCTTTTCTCTTTAAAATCTGTTTTAATTGTTCAAAATCACATTCTTGGATCATTAAAAGAAGCTAAGCTACGAGCTAAACTAACAGGCCGACCTCGGGGAAAAAACTTCCGTGTTGTCAAAGTTTAAAAATTCACGGTTGAAACCCACGTCTTCGTGATAAAAAGAAGCTGAGAACTTGTTTACTGATTTTTTTTATTTTTTATTAAAAGCTTTGTGTGACAAATGCTATGCTAAAGAGCTCAAACCACACCGAGTGTCCGCCATTTTGGGAACCAAAGAGAGACGGCCCATGTCACGTCAATGGGCCTCCCTCCCATTTTTCTTAGAGACGCGCTGCTCGCTCCCTCACTATCCATCCCTCTGTTCAAACAGTCTTATACTGCCATCTGGTGGTCAAAAAAAGCACTACACACAAAAACCAACCAGCATTTCTTCTTAAATTTAACGATAATTACTAATTATCGTCAAATTTCAAGCAATATTTTCGTTTATCGCAATAATTTCTGAGACGATTAATCGCACAGCAAAATTTGTTATCGTGTCAGGCCTAGTATCAATATGAGTAACCGGAGCTCTAAGGAAACAATAGAAGTCTTGGGCGGCAGCACATAAGAAATCAAAGTTTAACCTAACTGTTGTACAAAAAATATCCTCTCTTCATTTTATTTACTCAAAGAAGCCACACTTGAGGACACGAAGATTTTTAACTGGTTTTACTTGCAAGGACAGACTTTCACAACAGGTTACACAGATGTTCAGAAGTTCTGCATGCATGGAGCCCAGTCACGAGAATCTGTCACGGGCAGCGTGCGAGAATTGTTTTTATAAACTTATCAGCGCCTGGCTCAGAGGCAGCAGACTGATGTCCTCGGCCATCAAGCTGCACATGCAGGATCAAATCATCTCCTCATTCAACCTTCTGAGAGAGAAACAAACTCTCTGCTAACTCAAACACGTGGTTCATGGGCAGTTAACATTCTCAGCCATAGTAGTTAAAAAAGTCCATAAACCTTGATCAAAATGAGTAAATAACAGCTTAAAATAAATAAAATCTTACACATGTATTTCTAAAATGGTTATAACCAGATCAAACTAAAAACCGCACATGGAATTCTGAAATTTAAAATGGCCTATGAGTAAAAACACAAGTATGAGTATTTATAATAAAGGGATGCTAATAGTATAAGGTTTTACACAGAAGTCAAAGAGTTAGCTCTTACTCGGCCCCGTTTTCTGCAGATGTTTGACTCGTTCGTGTTTTCTCTCGTGCAGTGCGACGTCTGCGGCATGGAGCCCATCCAGGGCGTGAGATGGCACTGCCAGGACTGTCCGCCAGAAAACGCGGTTGATTTCTGCTCCAACTGCTCGGACTGGTGAGACGCTCCTCTGTCACGTATAGAAACAGGAACACAAAATGTACCGTATTTTTTGCTGTGTAAGTCGCACCTTTTTGCATAGATATGCATGCCCTGCGACTTATGCAGCAACACGACTAATATACATTTCTTCCCATATTTATAACCCAATTTTTGGCTGAGATCTGACAATTTCATTTATTCAGACATGGAAAATATTGAACACTACCATTTTCAGCCACAAGAGGGCGCTCAAGTGATATGGCAAGCCAAGTGTGTCATTAATAGGTAAAAGTGACTATTAATGAGACACTTGTCTTGCCATAAAGCCACCGTCGTCTCACTCCAGAACTCCTGGAGCAAACATCAAATCAGCTGCATTTCACCGCGCCGCCAGGTGAAGTGCAGCTGATTTTACCATTAAAGTGAATTTATTAAGGAAAAGTTCAACTGAGACACATCTTTACTATAATTTTGAGCAAACCAAAAATTGTTTTTAAGTGTTAAGCTTGTTAAATTTTTGTTAAAGTCCTCCCGTGCACGCTCCCGCGGCCGCCATTTGACAATCGATTATATATATATTTTTTGTCACACCGGTCCACGTTTCCGGGTGGTCAGCGGTGACGCATAATAGATGCGACTAATACGGCGAAGCGACTTATTTATGTTTTTTTCCACTTTATTAGACGTATTTGGACTGATGTGACTTGTACTGCGGTGCGACGTGCACAGTAATGTGTTTTAAAACGACGAGCACGCGGTTAACAAGGTAGCAGGTGTTCGTTCCCCCTCAAAATAAAACCTGGCTGTTCTTTTTTTCTGTTGTCGGTACGAGTCGCACTTCAACAACTTTCACTCACAAAAGCATTATTTTTTTAAAGCTTAATTGCTCTTCTATTCGTAATGGTCTATGAATAAAAGGTTTTTGTCTGAGTGCATCAAACAAAAACATAACGTGCTTTTTCTGAAAGAGACAAAACAAAAAGTGAACAGCAAAACATCTGTTGATGGATTAAATGTTTGCTGACGTTGCTACAAGTTTACTGTAAAAGAAACCCACTAAATGAGAAAGCTGTGAACGGACCGTGTCAGTTTTACAAAAGAGCAGCAGACGTTCCCTGTAGCTAGACTGGACGGATCGAAGGAGGGCTGCGTTGTGTGGATCTGTGGGACCACGTGCACTAGTCTTGGATCGGCTGTAAAGATGCACAGGGTTTATTATGATTAGCTGCATTGTTGCTCATAAGCTCCAGTGTGGCAGACTAGATTTAGTTCAAATTTAAAGTAACTAATGGTTGTCGGCTCAAGCCTCGAGGCCATTTTCATCACCATTTCATTCCTTTTGTCTCGATACGTGTTAAATCATCTATAAAATATGCACGTCAGTAGGATGTGAGAAGCAAAAAGAAGCCAGGATCTTATTTTAACTCCTGAGTGGGTTTATCTGTCTTATTTGCCAATCTCTGCTAAATGCTGACGTCCAGATTTAGATGATTACAACGCTTTCATTTACAGAATGAATTAATCAGGTTTTGTTCCAGATGTTTCACAGACAGTTTGGATCTTTTATTAGGACGTCTTTTTTTTAATTTTTTTTTAGTGAGAACTGAATTCCTGACTTTATGAGTCGACGTGAAGAAACAGAAATCAGAGCTGCATCGGTTGGTGCGAGGCTGCGGAAATGAGTTCGCACGAGAGCTGGAGATCCGAGTGTAGTCGCTTAATGTTGTCGTTTCCTGCTCCGTCACACAGGTGGAGTGCGTTAGCACATGTGCTGACTGTTGAAATGAGTTCTCTGTGCGTAATGTAACTTTTCTAAAAAACAAACAAACCCTAAAACCTTCTCTTTGGTGCGGTCCTTCAGACTGTAAAGTACATTTCTTTAAAATACAAAAAGTGGAAGAAAACTGTATTTTAGAAATAATACACACAATTTTACCCAGGGAGAGTGGTGGCGCAGAGGTTAGAGACGGTGGGCCTGTGATCGGAAGGTCGCCGGTTCAACTCTCGGTACCGACAACATCAAAATGTATGTGGGAAAGGTGAAACGCTCACACCTGCCTTCATTTGTTCCACTCTGGGCCCATGAGCAAGGCCCTTAACCCCCACAATCTGCTGATGGCCGCTCTCTGCCCCACACAGAGGGCTGTGGTAGCTCGGTGGTTGTCAGGAAGGACATGCGGCGTAATAATAAAAGCCAAGTCTTTGAGTTACATCACTGTGGTGACTCCTGAAGAACGGAGCAGCCGAAAAATTCAACAACACGATTTTACCCATCTTGTCACATAACTGGCACATTTTTCTTTTAAACGTTGTGACTGAAGTGGAACAGGAAGTGGCGACAAAGGGGAACTCCCTTATCTTTGTTTATATAAACTCTGACTTCAATTTTTTTCTCATAGTGACTCAAATAATCTAAAGAAACATCCGATTCTTCTCTGCCATCTGTGTTGTCAGCCATTGCAGCCATGTTCTGTTTACATGCAGGCGTTCCTCTTTGTCATCACTTCCTGTTACCGAGCGTGGAAATACCTGGACGTCTTTATCTCAGCAGTGTATTTTGTTTTTGCCATATCTCGTTACTGTTGTCTTTACAATAATGCATTCATATTTATCACTAAAACGGTCACTGGCACTATAATATTTTCTAATCGTTTAAATAAAAATGCTTAACGCGGTTTTAATTTAAGTTATAATCTAAAATCTGTCTCATCATCATCAATGCAACACCGTTGCATACCGTATTTTCCGCCGTACACGTCGCATTTATTATGCGTCACCACTGACGACCCAGAAATGTGGGCGGGTGTTGTGCCATGAATTGATTGGCTGCCAAACGGCGGTTGCGGGAGCATGTACTAGAGGACTTTAACAAGAATTTAACAAGATTAACACTTAAAAACAATTATTTGTTTGCTAGAAATTATAGTAAAGCTGTGTCTCAGTCTAACTTTTACTTAATAAACGCACTTTGACGGTCAAATCGGCTGCGTTTTCCAACAATACGCAGAAGTACGAACGCGCAAAGGGACGAGTCGTGCATTTCTTGGAAATTTAACAAGAGAACCACCTAAAAACAATTGTTAGCTCGATTTTATAGCAAAGGTGTGTCTGTTGACCTTTTACTTAATAAATGCACTTCAGTAGTAAAATTAGCTTCATTTCGCCGGGGCGGCGCAGTGAAATGAAGCTAATTTTACGTTTGCTCCAGGCAGACGACGGTAGCTGGCTGTGGCAAGCCGGTTGTGTCATTAATAGCCACTTTTACCTATTACATGATACAACGGCATACTATACCACTCGAGTGCCATCTAGTGGCTGAAAATGATAGTGTTCAATATTTTCAGTCAGAATTAATGATAATGGTCACATCTCCAGCCAAACATTGGTTTATAAATATGGGTGGAAAAAAATCCATAAATACGTTGCTTCGGCGTATAATTGCAGGCCATGCAAATTACGCAAAAACTGCGACTTCTAGGGCGAAAAGTACGGTAATTAAATTTATTGCAACTATGAACATTAGTGTGTCGTGTAAGCCTTACACCACGACCGACACATCCTCGAATCAAAACCAGATGTGTTTGTGAATGATCACTTTACTAAAGATTAAATTTTCACCAAACGGATGGACACGTGATCATTCTCTCTCGTTTGCAGCCTGTTCAAGACGGAGACCCACAAACCCAACCACCACCTGGAGCCGGTGTATCAGTCCGAAACCTTCCTGGACAGGGACTACTGCCTGCCGCAGAGCACGGGCTACAACTACCTGGACCCTAATTACTTCCCCGCCAACAGATGACAGGATCCCAGGCGCCCCTAGCTCTCTCTCTCTCTCCACGTACCCCACAGGCCACTCTGTGTACGGCTCCATCCTCCAAGTCCAAGATAACCGCTTCACCCACCGGCCAGGCAGGAAGGCCAGCCGGGGGGGCCTCAGAACAGACCTCAGAGCTGCTGCTGCTGGTGGGCGGGGGAGCTGTTGGTTACTGACCTCTCTGACTTCATCAAAGGGTGGTTGCGTTGATCCCCTCCCAAAAAAAACCCCACCTCAGCCAGGTTATTTAACGGTGATTTGAAACGATACACTATTTAAAAAAGAAAACTGAAGGCGCACAACATTCCTGAGCTTTGAAACTCCAGGACCCCCCCCCCCCCCACCTTCTCTGTGCTGCTTCAACTGGAGAATTGATGATTCGTCTGGTGGAGCGCCACCTAATGGAGCCACGGTGGACTGGGCTCGTTGCGATACACTGAGGTGGATTTAGTGTGTCTGTGTTTTATGCAAGAGTGGAAACCATTTTAGATTATTTATGAGTCACTGGGTTCTGCAGGAACTGACGTCGCGTCATCGAGGCCGACTGAGCGAAGTTACGTCGAGTCGATGTTCTTCAGACCGACCCGCGTGTTTTACAGGTTGAGTTTCATCATGAAGTCATCACGAACACTGTCACACAATGCTGCTCCCTTCACCTTCCCAACACACACACACACACACACTCACCTCATCCGTTTCCTTCGCTCTCTCCACTGAAACACGTCTAACAAGAGAAGCACTACAACACAGAGAGCCATTTTTCTTTGAGAACGTGGGAAAACACAAAGATGTTTTTTTTTTTTTTTCTGTCCTCTCCCGGTGTGTGCCGTCGTTGACCATGTTGACTGTTCGAGTATATCGTGGAAAAGTGAAAAGTAGCCACCGCTAGTTGCCGTGTGCCATTTAAAATAAAATGAAACAAAAAGATTTTTACTTTTTGGGCAGAGGGGGAGACCTTGGACCCGACCGCTTCTCCTGCTCGGCTCCAACGTCCCGCTCTCTCCGTTACCGATCATTTCCCTCCTAGATCCTTAATTCTGCAAACCACTTTAAAGGTCCATTTAAAAGATTGTATTTTTATTAATCTATTTAAAAAAAAACCCGACAACAAATAACTGAAGTAGTGGTTGGTGCCTCCACCGTGGAACGACCCACACAATTTTATACACCTAGATTTTGTTGTGCTTGAGTAGTCACCATTTTGTATAGTTTTTGTCTCCTTCCCTCACCCCCTTTTCCCAGCTTCAGTATCTGTATAACAGTCTGTTCTTATGTAAAAAAAATAATAATGTAAAAAAAATTGCTAGAGGAGAACCGTGGAAATAAAAGTATGTGAAAAATGTTTTTACATCGGTGCTTCTTGTTTTATTCTTCAAGGCTTGTCCACAATAATTGTATTTTGTATTAATGTGTAGTTTGGGAATGCAGTTTTATTTTGAAGGAAGTTTTGCCACATGTTTTTTTTTTATTTTGAAGGGTTCATGTTTGGAAAAGGAGGTGGTGTGGTGCCGAACAGCTTTACTGATCTGTCATTGGTTTATATCCAGGAAGTGGGCGGAGACAGGAGGTGATTAGAAATGAGTTTCAGCTGGACAGTGGTGGGAAACAACCTGTGGTGCAGTTTGTAAAACCAGGTGTGTGTCGGTGTTTTAGACGTTCAAATCGACAGTCTCCACAAACATCAACTCTACCTTGGGTTTTAGAATTAACTATTAGTATAGAGTTTATGTTTTATAGCTCACTAAGACGTTAACGTTCATTGGCAAATTGAATGGACACAGAACTGTGCGGCTAACAGGAAGAGACTTGACTAAAGTTTCTGGCATGGAAACTCCTGAAGTACAGGTAGAAGATCCTAAACTGAAGAGTTTGACATGACTGAGCTGGAGCATCTTCACTGGACCGTTCTGCTTCCTGCTGTTTCTGGTGGACCGAGAGACGTGAAGGAGCTGAGAGCATCCCCCACCGTCTCAACTGGGACTGACGGGTGAAGTTCCAGAGGTTCCAGACCGTGGAGTAAGATGCCACATTCCCTCCATTCTTCAGCATCACATCAGGCCTGCAACGGTTTAATTAGGTTTGTACAAAATTAATTTAACTATATGCCGGCTTAGATGTATGCTAGAGGTTGGGCCCACTTGATTTGGTGTAAACTTTAGAGTTTTATTATGGACTGAAAATGTTTGGAATTAATGTGAAGGTTTAAATTTAATACAAGTTCTTAAAGCTCAAAACTTTAGTCCTGTGTTGTTGGTTATTTTTAATAAATAAGCAACAAAGTTCATGCTCAATCATCCAGGTATCAAATCCAATAATTCTCAGTCGGGTCATCTGGACAGTTTCTTTTTTATAGAGACGTTTCACCCTCTATCCGGAGGACTTCATCAGACGGCCCCCAAGAAACCATCTTAGCACCAGCAAACTGGTTGGTCCACTTAAGGAGTTTACTGCTTGGGGAAACCGTTTTCTGGAACTCCTCTGACTGATGAAGTCCTCTGGATAGAGGGTGAAACATCTCTATAAAAAAGAAACCGTCCAGATGACCTGACTGAGAATTACTGGAAGAATAAATAAGTTTGAGTTCAAGAGTTTTAACGAGCTCAGGGGCCCTCACCTAGTTTAGAGGGGTGGGCTACACTTGGCTTTGATTATTTGATTTGCTTTTTTAAATATTTGCATACATTAAATTGGTAAAAATGATCTCTTAAAGGGAGCCCTCTAAATCATTAAATGTAACAGATGATTAATGTTCTTTGATACCACTTTACAACAAGTTAAACGGATGATGAGTAATAATTATTCTGTAAACACTAAACCATTATTACACTTGTAAAGATTAACAGTTGATAACAGATTTTAGATTTTCTGAAGGGCTTTCAAAACGGTTTGAATATTTTTTGTCCTTTTTAATTAGACTGTTACAGCTCATTCTTCAGTCGGTGCTTAAAAACTGAGGAAAGTGGACAAAACGCATGTGAAGTCGAGTTCTTTTTATATTAGATTTTACAGAAAAATGGGAACAACTTGTCTAAAGATCAGTTTTAAAAAGGTTCCTTTGCTGAGTTTTCTGTTACCGTATTTTATTTATTCTATAAGGCGTACTTAAAATCCTTGAATTTTTTTCAAAAATCGACATTGAGCCTTATTATTCAGTGCACGTTTATGTATTAATTTCGATCGTCCTTACTGACCTCAAACTGATTTTATGTGGTACACGGCGCTCAAAAATCTGTCAAAATGAACTTAATCTGCCTAATACGCCTTATAATCCAGTGCTCATGTATGAAAACAGACCCGTTCATTGATATTGTTCCTTATAGTCTGAAAAATACAATAGTTTTGGAAGCTTTTGTAGTCCTGAATGCTTCATAAGTTAAATTTATGTTGATTTAACAACAAAACGGGCACATTTGTCTAATTAAAAATGTAGCATTCCTTGAATTAATGCACACTGCCCTCCAAATTTTGAGGAAAAAATACGTTGAGTCTCACATTTTAGCACAATAAATATAAAACTGACTGAATTATAAGTACACTATTTATTTTTATTTGCTTTGGTGGCCATCTTGGATTGAATGGACACTGAAAGAGAATAAATTGTTGAGGTATTGGCCATTATTACCTGGTTTAATTGAAATGGTGTGCTTCATGAGATAATCTGCTTTCAAACAGACTAAACGGTTAACAGGATTTTAAACAAAGACCTCATGCGTCCTGAACTTTGAAACACTTTCAGAAAACCTCAAGTATTTAAGACAATTTTAGAAATTTACCAATAAATCTGACTTATCGTGAGCAAAACCTTAAAAACGACACTACAGGCTCTGCAAACACTTTGGCTGCAGATCCTGGGAGTTTACTTGTGATGTTTAAAATCAGCTGACTCCACATCGTCTCACCAGCAGATGGCGCTGTCGGATCAATCCTCACTGCAGGTAAAACATGAAACAAGACTCAGAGCTCCTCTGTTAAACAAACACACCTGCTTTATTGAATGTTAAATACCAGAGACTCCCACAGAACCCTCACGATGAGCTTGTAAACATACAAATGCAGTAGTTGTAACTGGCCGAAGCTTTGTTTCTGTTTTAATCAAACGCACAGACTGCAGTTTTAAGCTGAACTGTTAGTTTTGCATGCTTGTTACGATACAAAGCGTAGTGCCGAGCACGAGCGTGAACACACACCGACATTTCCACTTTGTAGCACGGCAGGAAAACCGTCCTCGGCTCCCCTGGTGGAACACTGGGCGCGCTCTCTGCACGGTTATGAGCCTCGCTCCGGCAGTTAGCAGTATTTACTGAGGTTGGTGTGAGGTGGGGAGGAGGGAGAAAACGCACGTGGGTGAAGCGAAATGAGTCGGGTGTTGACTGCAGGTGAGACATGCAAACCACTAGAGTTCAATAAGCTGGTGCCGGTGATGTGGAGGGGTTTCAGTGGAGGGGAAGAGTGGGTCTTCAGAGGAACTGGGGGGTGTAAATGGAAATCAGACGGTGGAGCAGGACTCGACAGCTTGGCAGATCTGAGCGAACACTTCGTTTGGTGACCTCTCGGCATCAATCTGCAGAGACAAACGGAAGCCGTTCAGAACTCACCCCCACCTTTTTATACGTTTTAACCTCAGGATTAAACAAAAGACTAAAAAAACTGACGGCTGGTGAGAGTTTATACGATCATCAGATTCATGGTCTTACAGCTCAGTCTGGATCTCTGTTGGAGCAAGCAGCAGCACATTCAAAACTACACGTAAAATTCAAATGTTCAGCTTTTCCCTCTTCAGGGGTCTCAATATACCGTATTTTCTGGCGTATAAGCTGCATTTATTATGCGTCACCGCGGACCCGTCATGTTTATTATGCGCTTATTTAATGGTCAAAGCCGCTTCATTTCGCCTGGGTGGTGCGGTACCATCCATCCATCCATCGCAATACAGAGCCGCTAGCTCTCCAGCGTTCCCCTGCATGAAGCGAGCGTGCACGGGAGGACTCGCTGTTGCAGTTCTTCGAAATTTAAAGCGTCAGTCAAAAATTGCATTATGAATATTGAAAAAAAAATGTATGCAAGTCGCAGGACTGACAAATCTATATAAAAAAAACTGTGATACGCTGGAAAATACAGTAGTCGCCCTCCTCCATCTCACTCTGTCCTCTGTGTCCTCTGTCCTCACTCCAACCATGTCCTCTCTGACTGCATCAGTATATCTCCTCTTTGTCTTTTTCCTGGACAGTGGAGCCCAAGTCCTTGAAGTCCTGCACCTCTGTGACCTCTGCTCCTTGTAGCCTCACTGTTCCACCTTCTCGCTCTCATTCACACACGTACTCTGTCTTACTAAGGCTGACTTTCATTCCTCTTCAAGTGCACACCGCCACCTCTCTAAGTTCTCTTCCACCTGTTCCCTGCTCTCACCACAGAATGACCCAACATTTTCAGAGTTTGATTTGTAGTTGGTTATAATGGAAACCTCATGTTTGGGTATAAAATGAGCTTTGAATGTATCCTTATATAACAGTATACTATAACAAGACTGTAAAAATACAAATTAAAGTTGTATAACTGCAGAAATGTAAATTTGTTACAGCTTGGGGCAAATATAAATAGTTTATATAGCTACAATTAGGCTGTGTGAATGAATAAATAATTATTTTGTATCAGATTACCCTTCCTCCTTTAGTTCTGCCAAATATTTACACAGAAAGACTAAACTTTTTCACATGAACATTGAGAACGAGCTGTGTGCCACAGAGCTGAGCGGACTGATGACCTCAGTACCTGTTCTGGCATTTACACACACACACACACACACACACCTGATGTGGCATTTAAAGGTTCAAACAACTCTTTTTAAAGGGGCGGTTCATCTCCAACCTTGAAGTCTGTGATTTTTTTTTCATTTGCCCTCATGTTAGTGGAAACATCAGTGAGGTGCGTAAAGTCCACATTGAGTCGGACGTTGCTTTTATGGTCGGAGCCGACCTTTAGAGCAACATCTTTTAGCTGCAGTAACATCACAAAGTGTCCTACTTGTGTGCGAAGATGACTGGAGGTTGTTTCTATGGTTTGTAAAATAAAGTGGTGCCTTTTTATATGAATATTTAAAACATGCATTTGTTGTGTTTATCTCCTCACCTGATTTATATTGAAACGGACAAGAGGCAAAGCAAAAAAATTGTGTTTTTTAGACTTGGAAGGTTTATCTTTACTTCAGAGACAAATAAAACCCTTTCATAGCCAATTGTTTTAATTTTAAAGCAGCAAAATCACAGGTGTCAAGGTAAATCAAAGCTGCAAGCAAAGACTGCATGATACTAAAGCAATAAAAGATGTGGCAGCCTCCAAGTCTGAAAACTAAAGCCAATAAGCGTATAAACCTTCATTCTTTTTATTGACCAGCAGGGGGCGACTCCTCTGGCTAGCTGTACAGAAAGAACCTTTTAGGAAAAATACCTTATTTTTCACTTGATTAGAGGGTCTGAGTTTGTAGTTTTTTATGAGATTTTTGATAAAGTTGTACATTTAGTAAGATTTATGCACTTATTTCAATAAAAACTGCTTCAGATCTTTTTCTTTCTTAAAAAACAAAAAAAGGATTCTGCTTGTGTTCTACAGCCGTAACACACATTCTTGACTGGACTGAGATCTGGACTTTGTTCTGATCATTTCATTGCATTTAGTTTATCCTTATAACAATAATGCTAATCATAATGCTAAAGCAACATTCTTTCTGTCTTTTTTTTTTTAAGTAGTCCCTCGCTATTTTGCGGTTCGACTTTCAGGGACTTGCTATATTGTGGTTTGTCAACGCACATTAACATAAAATAATAATTTGTACAGGACACATGACTGTCAAGTTTAATATTACTTACATGATTGGGACAGTGCTGGATACAGTACAGTACTGTAAAACTATATCGAAAAATAAAAAGCTTCGGACAGGTGCCATTTTATAATTTTCTCTCAATAAGCCTATACTGTATTCCCGCGCATAATGACTACATTTCCCAGAAGTCAACAATGTCCTGCCCAGATTCCCTTTTTCCTTCTGCTGAAATACTAGAAGGAAAGTTTTGATCTGATCAGAAATAGTTCAGCGCTTCTTACAGTGACATAGCGGAAACGGAGAGCTGCATGGAACCCACCGAACTGGAGCAGAACCAGACCTCCAGACCCATCAGTGAATCTTAAGAGCTGGTAGCCACGCAGACTTCCAAGTTGGGAGGCCGCCGGGCCGGCGCTCCATCTGGAGCCTACCAAGACTTTTTTCATCTCTTTCAAATGGCCCATGAAGACCTCCAAGCAGGGACATGTTGGTAAGTAAAATTTAGTAGCTACACGTAATTATGTTGTTAAAATTAGTAGATTTAAGAGTTTAGAACATTGATTGTGGGCTTCTTCGCTGCAGGGTACGTCTGCAGAAATGGAACCTGGTAAGACCATAAGGAAGAACTGTTGCTGTTCTGCAGAGCCTGCTGAGTAAAATTTAGTAGCTACGTATACAGCACTGTACGCATGTTGTCAACATGACGTAGGTTTAAGAGTTTAGAACATTGCAAGAGTGTGGGAAGGGTTTCTAACGCCTTAAAATATATATAAATGCTAAAATAAATGTAACATTGCAGATTTTTTTGCAGGGAGGGTGAGGGGTCTGGAACCTAACACCCGCAATAAACGAGGGACTATTCTACAGTGATGAGTTAACTGAAAAACTAAAACAGGTTTTTGCCTTTAGTGCACTCCATTCACCATTTTGTCCATTCCAACTAAGTCTGAAGGTCCTGCGAATGAACAAAACCTGCAGGGCATAATGCGCCCACCACCGTGCTTCAATATGGAGACAATGAAACGAATATTTATAGATCTGAGCCTTTCATTAAGATTACAGGTTCATAAACTGGCCTGGTGGGAAATGGTTGTAGGTTGGTAATTTATTTTCTCATTTGGGAAACGATATTTTGTGTGTGTTTCGCTGAAAGAGCAGAAAAAGTACTAAAGCGTTAAAAAAAAAAAACTTTTGCCGTAGCTGCATTTAAAAGCCAAATCGACTGCATGCATGTTTTTCTGCTCCCTGCTTCTGGACGTCTGTTTTTACTTTTTATAGCAGCCACGGTTCAGTTCGTCTTTAAACTACTGACGACAAAAGTACAAAGTACGATTCCCTTCATGTGTTCGAGTTTGCTCTGGTTCCTGCGCTGAGTGGGGAGGTGACGGCAACGGATGTGGTTTTGGGTTTCACCGTGTGCAGAAGCCTCCTGCGTTCGTAGTGAGCTGTGACGGCCTGGCTGTCCTCGAAGAAGATCTCGGCCCTCCTGTGCAGGGCGCTGTCGGTGTCGGAGGCGGAGGAGGATCTCCTGCGACGCTGCAGCCGACCGGACATGGTCTCTGGAGAACAGCTCAGCAGGAGCACCGCGCTCGGTTCCCCCATCTGATGGAAAACACACGGGAGCTGGTCGATGAGAGGCCGAACAACCTGCGCTGCACACATCATCCCTCTGAACACGACTTCCCCTCTTTCTCGCTCTTAGGCACAACTTTTATTCTGACTTTTTCCTCTTTTATTCCCGTTTCTGACCCCAGTCCTGCTCTGACCCGTCACTCGCCTTGGCCTCGTACTCCTCGGCCTGCTTCAGGTCTCTGGGGAAACCGCTGACGACGAGACCCTTCCCCTGCCGCCCCGACGAGACCACGGCGTCACGCAGCAGCTCCAGCAGCGTGTCCTGCAGATCACACGCATACGAACCGTTGAACGTGTGACTGAGACGACTTCATTATTAATGTCACGTGCGCGACACTTCGATCCAATTAGCAGAAACTAAAAGATAACACTTAATGTCAAGGGTGTTTTTATGGTTCATCTGATATTTTGCTAACATACAGGCAGGGTTATTGACTCAAACAGGTAATGCTAAATATGTTGCACATGAACTATGTATTGGCTGTAACTCTCGGCTACAACTACGCCACATTTTAGCTCAATATCCCTAAAATTGACTGAGTTGCAGCCATTTTTGTGTTTTCTAAGGTCAGTTGGCTGTGGCGACCATCTTGGACTTTGTTAGCTCCACAAGATAAACAATTGTAGAAGTACATCTAATGTTTAATTTATGAAAGTTTAATTGAATTTTGTTCAATGGTTCATGAGATATTTTGCTAACAGACAAATAGAGCTGACTCCAATAGTTAAAAGCAACGTATTAAGATCGCACTTCAGGCGATCAGTCAGGTATTGAAATATATTTTAGGAGTACTTCTCGGCGACTACCACACCAAGTTTTAGCTCCGTATCTGTAAAATTGACAGCGCTGTAGCAATTTCTGTTCATGGTACATTTGCTTCGCTGTGGTGGCCATCTTGAATTTGTCTGGCTCCATAAGTTTAACAATTGGAAAGGTTTATTGGACAACTGGATCCTAAAAGTTTTATTCAAATCGCTTTAGTGGTTCATGAGATATTTTGCTAACAGACAGTGTTGACTTGTGTCATCTGTTAGTGCTCAGAATATTTGTTGATCAGTCTCAGCTACTACCACTCCAAACTAAAATTGTTTGGTATAAGATATATGGCACGATTCATTATTAGATGCTGAATTTTATTAACATTTTGAGCTCGGCGTCATGATTCTGGTGTAAAGGGTTATAAAAATGTAGCTTCACCAAAATGATTTAACTTAATAATTGTGTTTTATGCTTTTCCTCATCGATTTACTGACGTTCTGCTAAAGACTGAACTCTTCACGTCAGGGACACAAAGTGGATTTTTGTATAATATTCCTCACACGAGAGTTTAATTTACTCCACGTCTCCTCGGTATTAATAAGAGCATTAAGGAAATAATTAAAGTCGGTAAAAGAATCGTCTGATTAATAAAATGCCAAACTGGCGCTCCAACCTTTGTTCTGAATGAAACAACAGAAGACTGACAGCTGCTAATTAAAGCTTCGCGCTTTTCGGCTCTTCGTCCCGTCGTCTTAAATTCAGACGAGCGCACCGTGACTCGGCGCCGTCTCGCTGGAAATAAACGGGATAATTACGAGTCAAAAAGCTGCGCCGTTAGAACCGTACGGGATGTTTTTACAGCTTTTCTGCACCCGACTCTTTGTAAAGCAGTCTGATAAACGACTGATGTTAGAAGTCACACCCCTATTTTCCGGTGTTTAAGTCGCATAAGTCAAAAAAAGCATCATGAAGAGGGAAAACGTGTCGCTTCGGCGTATAAGTCTCATTTATTATGTGTTACCAATGACCCGTCGTGTTTATTATACGTTTATTTAGTGGTCAAAGCAGCTTAATTTCACCTGCGTGGGGCGGCACCATCCATCCATCGTGGCCGGAGCCGCTATATTTAAGTTGCAGGACTCTCAAATCTATGCAAAAAAACTGCGACTTATACACCGGAAAATACGGAAGTATGTGTCGTTGACTCCCGGCAACTAAAACAACAAATCTGAGTTTGATTTCTGTAAAATGAACTGAGTTGTATAAATGTTTGTGTTGGTGGACACTGATCAGCTGCTGCTGCCATCTTTAGTTGATTTGACTCGGTCGTAGACGTACGGCCGCTAATTATTCACCAAGTTTATTTAAAATCCGTGCAGTGGTTCATGAGGCGGCACGGTGGCTCAGTTGGTATAGCTGCTGCCTCTCAGCAAGAAGGTTGCCGGTTCAATCCCAGCCGGTCTTTCTGGGTGGAGTTTGCATGTTCTCTCCCACAGACCAAAAACATGCATGTTAGGCTGATTGGTAACTCTAAATGTCTCTAGATGTGAGTGAGAGGGTGAATGTTTGTTTGTCTCCGTGTGTCCCTGTGATGGACTGGAGACGTGTCCAGGGTGTCCCCCGCCTCTCGCACAGTGACCCTCAAGAACCAAAAAGGAAGAAGCGGGTAAAGATAATAGATGGATGAGTGAACGGAAGGGTTCACGAGATATTTTGCTAACAGACAAACGCAAGAACGTGCACTCAGAAACAGGCAAAACTAATATCACCCACCTTAATGACCCCCCCCACACACACACACATACAACTCCAGGAAATGTTTCATAATAAAAGTGACTCCATCTGTGTTGCTAGGCAACAGTGTGGTAATAAGTCATCTCTGGGTTGTTGTTGTTTGTTCATCATTCAGCGGAGAGACAAACATTTGATGACATCACAGGATCAAACCTCTGCACGGAGGGATTTCTGGAACTCTCTCTGTACAGGTTCACGTCCTAATCCCTTTGTGGGATTATTATTAATCCCTCTGCTTTGAATCGCGCTCCGTCCGGTCTCACTCATTAAAAAAACGAATGAATAAATAAATAAATAAATGTTCTCATGGAGAACAGCCGGGACACGGCCCTAAAGTGCAGCCACACGAGCCGAGCTATGAGAAGAGTAGACCAAGTTAATCTGTGATTTTTATGAGTTTAATCCGTCTGCGTTGGGAGGCCTTTTATTGTTCCAGTTACTGGATTATTTTTCTTGTGCAGGTTTGTGAACCAGAACATAAAATTCACAAACAGTGGCTTCAATCACTGATTCAAACCATTTCTCTTTTATTCTATATTTGTAGATCAGGAGTAGCTTTTAAATTCAGGACTTTTGTTCGAACAGTGTCTGAAAATGCAACAATGTACATTTTGTTCAATTTGGACATGAGTGTTTTTTTATTTATTTTATTTCATTAACTTTGCTGGACGAGTCTCTGATTAAATGATTAATAACGTCTAAAGTCCCTCCTGTTTATTTAAGCAGAATAATTAATGATATTTTTTAAATTATAAAACATAAAGATATTTAACATAGTGAATGTTTGTAGTTTTGGAGACAAATGTTTTTTCTGGACTGGACTGAATGTGAATGAACATAAATGTTTTTGGTGTGAGACATTCAAGTGGGGCGGCGTTACACTGAGCAGAACGGAGGGAAGTTTATTTATTTATTTATTTATTATAGCGTGACGGGTCCTGGTGAGTGGAGAGAGCAATTTTATCCACCACCATGTGCAGTGGTGGAGGCAGGGGGTGGCCATTGGTGGCCATGGCCACCATAGGTTAATCTTTGTCCACCCCACTGGCCACCATTTGATGAAACTACGCTTTTAATGAAATATAAAAACTAGAAAGCAGTTTCCTCAAATGATCGGGGTGGTTGGTCAGATTGCATAAATATATGGCGGTGGCCATCTTGGATTTTCACGTGACAACCCCATATTCAATATATATACATGTAGCCACACAGCTAAATGGTAGTTGGTACCTCACTTATTTTTCAAGTATTTGTCACAAGACGGACGGAGGGTATTTCGTTCAGTGATGGTACCAAAATGTAAACATAGAACAGGTGTGTTACATGTGTGTTTGGGCGCTGGGCAGGTTGGGGTTAAAAACCTCCAGGAGCTAAATCAATCGGCGCTCGCAGTCTCTGCAGGTAAAATGAGACTATCTGTCACCTTTATAATCTGATTAACGTTCCATTTGGATGACAGTAATCTGTCGGTGGAAGGTGCGGACTGAAGTTCCTTCTTTTGCAGAAGGAAACGGAACATTAGACTGAAGGAGGACCTGTTCTCGGCAGTTAAATGATCAGATATGATTTTTTACATTAAGGTGTTCTGAGTGACATTTCAGAGAAGTCTCTCTCTAGAACCCGGTGTTCTTCTAATATTAGCTGCAGTTTATATTTTCAGTACTTTGACTTTTTCTTCCGTTCAACATTTTCAAACTTTTAAGATATTTTTATACGTCTGTTTCAATTAAACGGTTTAATGGACAAAAAGTCTGTAAAGACTTGACGTGTCTCTTCGGCTGCTTTTTAATTTTCATGTTTTGCTTCAGCTTAGAGAAGGCGGTGATGCATGAGTTAATTTAATCTTCAGTCTCTTGTGGGTTTGTGCACATTTTACCACCAAAGGTTCACGCTGCCGAAAGGGCGAAAATGTTTTTGCTCGTGTCTTTGAGTATTTGTCTGTCTGTGTCGTGTTAGCAAAATAACTATTGAACCAGCAGAAAGATTTCAATGAAACGCTCGGTGAGTAATTACTGAATCCACCTCTACAAGTGAACACTTATTGGAGACAAACAAATTCAAGATGGCTGCCACAGCCAGTTGATGTAAGGAAACACAAATATATCTATGTCAGCTAATTTTAAATATTTTTAACTAAAATGTGGGGTGTTAGTAGCTGAGACTAATTTACAACACATACTCTAAGCACTACACAATGCATGACATTTTGTGTAAAACTTTGACATCAAATGTTGACATTAACCCTGCTCGTCTGTTAGCTAAATATCTCCTGACCAGTTTGATAAATGTTACTGAAATTCTCAAAAAAAAACAATAAATGGATGAACATCTACAAATGAATATGTTTTGGAGTCACCCCAATTCAAGATGGCTGCCACAGCTAATTGAAACTTTAAACACAAAAATGGCCATAATTGGTCCATTCTACAAGCACCGAGCTGAAGCTTGTTGTGGTAGAAGCTAAAAGTCGTCTTCCACACACTCTCCCTGCTCTAACGGACCTAAGATTAGATAAGATCTTCATTTTGCACAAGATTGCACCTGATATTTACAAGATTTGACTAAAGTGGCTACAGCTCTTGAAACTAAAATGATCATAGTTTAACATTTATGGCATCAAAGATGGCGGGTGATACACATTCCTTTAAGGACTACTTGGCCCTTCATTGTTATCCTAGTCCACGGTTGGAGGTTTTGGTTGGAGCACCACACCCACCTCAGGCGGTCTGTCTCCTCTCTCCAGGGCGTCCCGCAGGTGACGTCCTCTTTCGCTGTGACACTGCAGCTCGTTGCACAGCAGGTCGCCGAGGGTGACCCGACGCAGGCCAAACCTCTCCTCCAATCGCTCGCACTGAAGGGCCTTACCCGAACTCGGACCACCTGAGGGACACGCACACGCAGAGCCCGGTCAATATCGTCACAGTCGCTCAGGAGCGCTGAGGTGACGACGAGGAGGAAATTGAAAAGTGAGAAAGGAGCAGGAAAGAGGGAGGCGATAGGAAACGGGTGATGAGTGTTTACAGAGGAAAGGAGGTGAGGACACGGTTCTCTGACGCTGAACCAACATGTTTATCCTCAGAACTGAGGGGACTGTCAGGACTCAGATCTGCGATCACGCTCAGTAACTACCACGTACAGGTAAGCCTCCAACATACTGAACTACACCGGACCCTGCAGGTTCTGTTGGACGATCATTCCCACCACTCGTTGGTTTGGAGTTTGTTAAAGGAAATCTGGTGTTGATGAAGCCTTTCATTCAAAGGATGGTTTGGAAACGAGTGAACGTAAACTTGTTTTGAATGTTGAAACGATATTTATGTTGTAAACTTTTTAGGACAAAGATGGAGAATAATTAAATCGTGAGCTGACGAAGTTGTACTGTTATTATTTCATACTAAATTATATTCATCTGTATAAATATGGTGGTTTCATGCTGTCCTGTCGAGCGGCACGATGGTGCAGTTGACAGAGCGGAAGCCTCCCAGGAAGAAGGTTGCCGGCTCAAATCCCGGCCGGGGACTTTTCTGGGTCAAGTTTGCATGTTCTCTTTGTGCGTGTGTGGGTTTTCTCTGGGAACTCTGGTTTCCTCCAGCAGACCAAAAACCTGCACACTAGGGTGATTGGTAATTGTTCCTAGACGCGAGTGAGTGAACGGTTGTTTGTCTCCGAGTCCCTGTGATGGACTGGAAACCTGTCCAGGGCGTCCCTGTGATGGA